TGATAATGGATCAATAATTTACCACTTTTCTTACTCTTTACTGGCTAAAATTCACTCTACTTCCAAGTAATCTAGATTCGATCTCTTTCTAACATACTGACTGGATTTCAATATTCATTTGGATACCTTTGACTAGAAAATTCTAAACAATATTAAAATATTGATCTGTTTTCGTTTCTTTAATGTTCAACATGAAAAGTTGCAAGAATTTAACTGTAAACATACATGTCCTTCATTGATCGTTAGTAATTTCCATAGCTCAGAGCATAAATATCTTAAAAGTTTGAATTATTTTTTTTAATCGCTGATGAAGACAGTGTGATATTGCCGAAACTTTCAAACTCATGACATATTTATAAACTGGAAAAGGGAAATTAGTAATGATCATGAACTATCCAGAGAATGGAAGCATCTTTCCCAGCTATTTCCCTCATTCTTCCCCAGCAACCTCGGTAACATGGCACATAATGAATGTCATACTTCTAATTTTGGTCACAATCAAAACAGCTACTTCTCTTTGAGATACGCGTACCTTTATGCTGCAAATTCGATTCCTCAGTAATTTTTTTCACGAATTTTACGGCCCTGCACATAAAAGTGCACCTTTATAAAATATAAGTTCAGCAGTCCATTAAAAAGAATCTGACACAACAAAAAAATTTTAGCAAAATTTGCTATTTTAGATGATTTACGTTGTGGACTGCCTTGTGTGAATTAAACATGGGATAAAGTTTTGCCTAAACATGTAGCAATTCTAGCATTGCCTTGGATACTGACATTACTTCATGAGTCTTTTTTATTTATGAGTATGTTTTGAATTAAGTAAGTTTTGACCTGACATGGGTACGTTTCGGTCTTGGTACGTTTTTATTTCGGTACGTTTCAGCTTGGCTATGTTTTAGCTGTAAACCTTCTTTCCTTATTCTGGGCGCGAGAAATGGTAATTGTAACCAAATATAACTGCATTTCTTAAAATTACAAACGGTACATTTTTTATAATAATTTAAAATGCATAGCGATATATAATTCCTGATATTTTATAAGTGCATTATTGTATTATATAATACTGGTAGAAGTAGTTCCAGGTTGTGTGCGATACTGAAAATTTAGGTGTGCGATTCGAACTCCAGACCGACCAGTTATGGAAGATTAAATGGATATGTATTAATACAAAAATCCTTCGTATTCTAATCTGTCTGTCTGTAGTGGCATTTAGCCTACATGCGACTGTCCCGACAACAAGAAGAGCATTGCCCCATTCATTAACCCATTAGTCCCTGGAAGTTTTCGTCGTTTTCGCCTGAAATGCGAGTAGGAAATCAATTTTGAGAGATGTTTCTGAATACATTATAATACATCGACGTGGAAGACATTTTCACTTAGGTCTCACTGGATCGTTTCGTATTTTGACACCCCCCCCCCTAATTTTAAGGTAGAAGGAATGAGCCTAATTATATCACAAGCCTAGCATTTATAAATTCACACATAAGCTAAATATGTAATGTGGCTTACATTTACTTAGTTAGGCTTGTAAATGGGTTGCCTTGTTGGTGACTGCCTGTCACAGTTAGACTAGCATTGGAGATCAAATGCGTAACTTGGGCTGAAAATGTGCAGCCGACTTGGCTTACGTATTTTACATGTGTCTGCTACAGAGGTAAATATCTAAAAATCTACATGGTTATGGGGAGATGAAAAATATGTTAATTTGTTATAGTAACTAGTGATCTTTCAATATGAATAAGGTAAATTCTGACTGTTAGCCGGCTTCTCACATGAACATTTTGATAATAGCTCTTTTCTGTCAAAAATGAATGTAAAAAGAGGGGTTGGTGGTAGTATATGTTCAGTATCAAAACCACCAGATGCATAAGGAATTAACTTAATACCTTAGTCAGAATCTTACAAGCATCCTTTCGACAAATATCATTAGTTAGTTTTTATTTGTGTATCTTTATTGAAAAATTATTGTAATTTTTCTGCAATAGGTCATCGTCAGATGAAAACTTGCCCAGAAAAACCTGTCCTGTGAGACCTTAACTTAATGCCTGTTTGTGTTAGAAACGTCGATTTTCATTGGCTCTTTCGCCTGAGCATGAACAGAAAGGTAAAAACTAGACTTTTTTCTTTGCTTAACCACTCTTCATTCTAAATGCACATCTTATCCTACTTTTTGCAAAGGTTCACATGTCTGTGCAATTCAGACTGGTCTGTCTTAGATCTGAGGCCCAAAAAGTAAAAAATCCGGACACAAAACCGGATCATGACTTCGGGCGAATTTCGGCTGGAAAAAACTCGGGTCCAAAAAATGACGCTTTTCCCGCTGTATTTTGTACTGCAACTAGAACGTCCATATTATTTGGTATCATCGTAAAGCTGCATCTGTCTACCTTTCAATAATACCACCCACTTTATTGTGTCGCACATAACCTTAATGCTACAGAGCTCAGAATTAGGCTACCACCTCCTGCCCCGTAAACGCGGCTCTAGAGGATAATGAGTTAAGTTGCCATAGTGCCTTTCTTGAGAGTGTACCCAATGAACCTTCTCTCTTTGCAACAAATTGCTTAAAAAGTATGTATAGTATAACATTAATAATCATTGGAGGTGCCCTGTAACTTGTTTTCCAATACGCTGTATTGTCTTATATTCTGCGCTATAGAATATACTATTGTAGTTATTCTGTAACCGCGTACATAAATGAAAAATTATAATTCTGATATTAGTTACGCTCGTTGCACATTTGCTCTACCTATGCCCTGTTGTTTTATTATTATAAGTTACGCACAAATTTGTTTATCTCGATTTAGTCATACCTATTCATCGTTCGAACATGTTTGTATATTCTGTATTAGAAACGATACATTATAGTTTTCTGCACAGAGGCAAGGCCTACGCATACGCTAAATGTGATAATATATACATACGAATCAAGCCTTGTAAAACTAAGGAGATATTTATCCTACTGCAAATTCTATTGCTAGATGCAGTCAATGCAGAATGTTGTGTACAGGGGACATCGTAACAGAGACAATCCTGCACTAATGATATCTGCTTCCAATTTAAGCCATACCACTAGCGAACGTTTTAGCGCCACCTATCATTCTTCACATTTACAGCTAGAAAGGTGTGGGTACATGCACCAGTGATTTACAGTTCAAAGGTGAAATGTTTTGGAACCGTTCAGTCAATCCTTTATTCAAACACTTGCAGATGGATACTGGCGATACAGATGGATACTGGTGTTAAACCATGTTGTTTAAAATATAACGAAAAATTGCCTAGAAAGCAATTTGCTTTGACCAGGTAATACAGTATGCACTACTCTGATGCCTTTTATTTTTTTAAAGTTAAATATGTAGGGAGATTGCATAAATTTATTTTCCTTTACAGCTGACAATACTCTTTTGTGAAAAAAGCAATTAAATGTGAAATCATGTATAAGAAGAAGTTTGAATTCTCAAAACATCGCCGAATACACACTGATAATAAACCATACATATGTGAAATGTGTGGACATTGTTTCAAGCAGTTGGGTGGATTGTCAACACATTTGAGGGTACACACTGGTGACAAGCCACACGGCTGTTCAATGTGTGGAAAATTATTTAACACCATATCTTCCCTGAAGGGACATACCAGAACACATAGTGGTGAGAAACCCTTCAACTGTGAAACATGTGGAAAATCATTTAGCCAGAAATCTAATTTGTTAAAACACGAAAGAATACATACTGGTGCAAAACCATACAACTGTGAGATATGCAGAAAATTGTTTAACCAGAGATCCGAGTTGACAACACATGTCAGGATACACACTGGTGACAAACCATACAAATGTGATCTTTGTGGAAAAATTATTTAACCATAAGTCTTATTTCTCAAAACACCTAAGATTACACACTGGTGATAAACCTTTTAAATGTGACACATGTGGAAAATTGTTTAGCATGAAATCTATTTTGACAGAACACACCAGGATACACAGTGGTGAGAAACCTTTCAAATGTGCAAAATGTGGAAAATTGTTTAGCCAGAGTTCTAATTTGACCCAACACTTGCGGGTACACACTGGTGATAAACCCTTCAAATGTAAAATTTGTGGAAAACTATTTAGTGGGAGCTCAAATTTGTCACAACATTTTAGGATACACACTGGAGGAAAACCCTACAAATGTGAAACATGTGGGAAAATGTTTAGCCAGAGCTCAAATTTATTGCAACACTCAAGGATACACACTGGTGATAAACCCTTTAAATGTGAAATATGTGCAAAATGTTTCAAACAGAGTTCTGACTTGTCAACACACTCCAAGATACACACTGGTGACCAGCCTTACAAATGTGAAATATGTGGAAAATTATTTAGTAGGGAATTGCATTTGTCAACACATGTGAGAATTCACACTGGAGAAAATATACAGGTGTGAAATATGGAAATTTTTTTCACGATAAATATGTTCAAAAAGAACACACATGGAGACATAGTGGTGAGAAACGTTTAAGCTGTGAAATGTGTGGAAAATCCTTTAACCATAAATATCACTGGTATGGCAGCGTACACACGGGTGACAAACCATAGAGCTGTGAAATATGAGGGAAAATGTTTAGCATGGGCATGCCATGACACATAGTGATGAGAAACCTTTTAAATGTGGAATGAGTGGAAATTTGTTTAGCCAAAACTCCACTTTGTCAAAACAATTGAAGATACACACAGGTGTCAAACCATATAGCTGTTAAATGTGGAAATTTTTTTTAGCAGGAAATGGATTTTGATAGAATATGCCAGGATAAATAATAGTGAGATTGCCTTTCAGATGTGATATGTTTATTAATTATAAATATATTTAGTACATACACTGTATGCAAACTATTATATGCCTACCCATTGTATTTATGCTTGAAGGTGTGTATGATTGGATGGAGAGATTCATGCAGAGTATTTTGGTCACCTGACTTTAAGAGAGCACAGCTGAAACTAATAATAAATTTAGACCACCTCAGTGGTTTAAGTGGTTAGGGCATTTACCTCAGATGTAAAAGGTTTCAGGTTTGTTCCCCACCTGAGGCATATGAAAGACTTATAAAAATGGTACTAGCAGCTACATCGCTTGACATTCAGCATTAAGAGGTTAGTGTTATGACTGGTCGGCCTGGTGTCAGGATAATGTGATTACATGTCTGAAGCATGATTCCCCAGTGCTAGACATCACTATATGCTGCCACACTATAAACATCATAGCGATATGACTAAAATTGCTAAACTTCGTTAGAAATCTAAATCACAACCCCACACAGACACACACACAGAGATAGACAGACAGACACAGACATACACACACACCATGATTAATTTGAACAGATAGGTATAACAAAATTTATCTTGTAATGACATATTGATAAGGCCGATATAAATATGTTTCTGGTCACCTGATTTTCCCTATTTTTGGGGGTCTGACTCTGTCACTTTTTCTCTCCAGTTTTTAAAAAAAATACAAAGCAATCACAAAGATCAATTTGCCCATTATTTTTACTCATTTCACTTATTACATTATATATACTAATTATTAGAATATACATGTGTTAAAAAACAAGTGAAGAAACAACTTACCTACCTACCCAAATTTAAAACAAGTGCAGTGCACAGTAGAAATCACACAATGATTGTTTAGTCAACTACCACTTAACTATTTTTGCTTTCTGAAAGTTCACTAAAAATGGCAGTCAAAATGATCTCTATTTTGGTAAAACCATGTAACGTGTAGATCGGCATAAATGCACAAGTTACTTCTAGCCATGCCATTGGTCATAATTATATTGTTCCAGAAAATGAAATATTACTGTTATTACTATAGACTGCACACTGATACATACAGTTGATATAGACAGCACACTGTTGCATCACAGTTGATATAGACAGCACAGTGATGCATACAGTTGATATAGGCAGCACACTGATGCATTACAGTTGATATAGACAGCACACTGATGCATACAGTTGAAAGAGACAGCACATTAATGCATGCAGTTGATATAGACAGCACATTGATGCATAAAGTTGATATAGACAGCACACTGATGCATACAATTGATATAGAAAGCACTGATGCATAGACAGCACACTGATGCATACAGTTGATAAGAAAGCACTGATGCATACAGTTGATATAGACAGCACACTGATGCATACAATTGATATAGAAAGCACTGATGCATACAGTTGATATAGACAAGCACACTGATACATACAGTTGATACAGACAGCCCACTGATGCATTACAGTTGATATGGATAGCACACTGATGCATACAGTTGAAAGAGACAGCACACTAATGCATGCAGTTGATATAGACAGCACACTGATGTGACTAGCAATGAAAATGGTGCGAACGAGGTCAAAATTTATCAACGCTGTAGTTACGTCTCGTCTCACAACGGATTAAAGACAAAATCGTGTTATGCTTGTAATTTCTGAGAAGATAAATGATTTCACTATCGATTTAATGTAATTATGGGTCAATGTAAGGTCATTTAAGTTTGCTAGGCCTGATAGTTGGCGAGTACCCTATGGCGACACCAAATGGTGTCGGCAAATTCCAAGTTTTTGATAGGGAATAGACTCTGACCCTACACCCCAACATATAAAACCAAATATCAAAAATGGGGTGTCAAGGGTCAGAGGAAACTCGGACTACAGATATTAGAACACCGGTCATCGGGTAAACGTCAATGATCGCCTTGTCTACATGCACCAGTCCATATACCATCACACCCCCGTAGAGTACGAATGAATATGATTTGTATGGATATTATCACATTGAAAATGAAATAACGCAATCTTGAATTCAATGCGTATATTTATTTTCATGGGAAGAAATCGGTCGTTTTGTTCCCATCCCCGAGGAGGCCATGGTGTATTCAGTAACGAATTTCTCTGTGCATGAAAAAAATTACTAAAATAATTAAACTTAAGCGGGATCTCACCAGATAAAACTTAATCTTTTCAAGCACATGGTTGTATATTTTATCTTCAACACACAACACAAAATATATATTTTATCGTTCGGAATGTTATTGTCCCTTGCAAATAAAAATAATTTAGACGTGCGTGAGAATTCACCAAGTGAGATCAGGTAGCCTAGTCCTTACAAAAGGAATTCAATTGCCATTCAACTTATTTAAGCTAGGAAACATTGTAAGCTGCATTGATAATTTAAACACGTACTGTGGACTGCGGCACAAAACGCGACTGTAATCTGTTTGTTTGGCTATAAATTTCACTTGCAATCCTAGAAGTACAATGTGCGAAAGGTATTTTTTGAAGCATATATCTGATAATAAAGGTAAAACAATTTTAGGATCGTTGTGATACTCTTTCGTACTCTTTCGTACTGTACTTGTATATGATACGTCACTGATCACCACTGATTCCGTTCAAAACTTTAAATTTGTAATAATTTGCGCCCTGTTATATACGTTGTTAGGATGGACCTATACGCTTACAATCAGTCTTAAAACTTATAATTTGTGCTGGGAAAAGACATTCAAATTGTTGTCCGGGGCCCCTAAGTGGCCGAGTTGTCTAAATCTCTGTCCGTTACGGACGATAGGCTATTCATGGCGGCCAGTATTAATGGTGGAGGAAGAAACCGGGAAATCACCGGAAAGAACCACCGACCCACGAGAAGCTACTGGCAAGCTTTCTCACATATCCACATTCGCCGAATCCTAGATTCGAACTCACGCAGACAGAGGTGAGATGGCAGTGATCCGTAACGGACAACGCTTTAGACCACTCGGCCACTCGGGGCCCCGATTATAAATTGAAGATAATGCAGACATGTAAGACAGATAATGTTTGTCTATCTTTATAAGCTGTAATCAAAATGTTGTTATTGTATTTAGTTCAGAACATTCTGTGCCAGTATTGGATACAACTAAAGCTTAAGTTTCTATTACAATGTTACATGTCTAGGTCAGGTGAAACTGTATGATAGGGATTTAAAACGAAGAAATAAATTCGTTTTAAGAACTCTGTGGGATTCCCTTGCAGATGTTTGCATTTCAAGAGAAATCATTCAATGGAGCAATTAAGTGCTCATTGACTTTGAATATACATTACTTTGGAATTACTGGTAATTCATTCAAAGACAGTCTGGATTGCATCATTGAGGTACTTGTGAACATTCAAGACTTGGAATTCTTTTGGAATTAAATTCACTGCAAATGTCTCTGGAATTTTGGCATTGTTAGGAAGTAAATTTCTTGTCAATTTTACTGCAATTCTTGGTTTCACATCTTGATTAATTATATTACATCTGCATAAATTTAAAAACATTTTGCATTACTAATTAAACTTGTAATTTAAGGCACAAATGGATGTTAAAGCTTTACATTAATTTATGTGTAACACAATACATTTACTTGTGTTCTTTATGGAATGTAAACATTTAAATACTAGTCAAATATTATCCTAGAAATAAAGCACCTTTGATACTCAGTTTCACAGCAGCGGACAGGCAAGTAAAACATTTCTCATGTAATTGGATCAAGAGGGTCATCTCAAAGTGCTACTGCCTAAAAGTTTTGTTGACATATCTCTCTCTCTCTCTCCCTAAATAAAATATTAAACAATGAAGACTATATCTTTGTCTTCATGTTAGAACATACTAATCCCACATTCACTCTAAGTGAAAGTTTAATGTTAATAAGTAAAGCTGTATAAGAGTTTCAGCATGGACAATGAATAATGATTAACCCACATGTATAGATAAACAAAGTAAATTTCTTATGTTGCAAGCTTATTCAAAGAAAAAAAAAATATTTTGAGCAGGAAAAAACTCTTGACTACTTTTCATCAAATGAAGTTAAATAATTGGTGTTAATTAGAAAAGCTTTGAAAGAGTAAAGTACATCCTTAAAGATACCTTACATATTTAGATTTTAACAAACAGTATCAATTCCAAGAAGCTTGTCAAATCCCAAGAGATAAGATGAAAATTATAAACCCAGTATGTATATCATAAGACTACCCGAGGTTTTGTTCCAAAATTTCAAGCTGTCTTTATTAGGTTAGGAGATAAAATGCATTATTATTGGATAGACAGACAGGCATAAAGACTCATGCATTTTTTAAAGTTGCACAAGGATCACATTCATGGTTAATTTTATTTAATTAAATGATATGTTTGTTAAAACATAAATATATATCTCTAAATTAAATGACCTACATTGAAGTCAGATTAAATCATGGAACAAAACAAAAACCCCAGATAGAACCATGACCCATGAGAAGCAACCAGCAATCTTTCTCACATCCTTTATTTATTATATCAAATACATTTCCATTCCTCCATTATTTGTTTATGCAAAACTATCTCTGTAATTTAAATCTGCTACAAACATCAATTTGAATTCATGCTCTCAACTAGATCATTTATAGTCCGGCATCTGTAGTTAACTCATTAAGACACCCTTCTTTTCCTTGTATCAACTTACTTCTGCTCATTTACCATAGGTTGGAAGTGTGCATTGTATCTGTTGTAGTTCCAGATATTTATTCTTTCCATCTTCTTCATTAAACAGATCCATTCTGACTCTTTTTACACAAAACCACATTTACTTTTCTTAAATGTGGGTTTTCATTACGCTAATGATTTCATGGAATCATCAGCTTTGATGGCAATAGCAGCAGTTATTTGAATATACAAAGAGATATATTCATGTCAGCTATTGATAAACTCAAAAATGCTTGACACTTTTTAAAATCTGAAATTTGATCTATGATGATTATCTATTTATAATAATAAGTTTAAAAAGTAACATGTGGGTCTGAAAGTGGTATTTTAAAGTCTACAATTCTCTGAAAGGTGTTTGAAATTCTGTATTTTAGATTTTAACAAACAATATCAATTCCAAGAAGCTTGTCTAATCCCAAGAGATAAGATGAAAATTATAAACCGAGTATGTATATCTTAAGACTACCCGAAGTCTTGTTCCAAAATTTCAAGCTGTCTTTATTAGTTTAGGAGATAAAATGCTCCTTTACTACTTCTATTCATAACAAAATTA